TTTTATGATGATTTTGATAAAATCTATGAATGTCATCGTTAATCAAGGGAGTGTATTTGAATTAAAATGTAAGTTATTATCATATATCAACAATACTATATCATATAGGACAATTTAAATTTGTCACCATTATAATATCAAAATAAATTTTAACAAATTCATAGTCAGTTCAATTCAAACAGTATCATAAAATGTTTATATTTTGTAATTATTATTATTTTTTACATAAGTAACTAAATATTAATATGTCAAATTTGAAATTATTATTAAACAACTATTGTTTTCTTTTAATTGTGTTTGTTTTAATCTAAATAATTTATTTTGATTGTTACTTGAAAATTTCTAAATACCTAATTATAATAATATATTAATAAACTCTAGAAATTGTTTCAAACAATAAAAAAATTAAAAAAATGTAAAACAACGGTTGGTTTTATAAAAGTTATTCATTATTTGAGATTAATTGTTTAATAATAATACTATATCTAAATGCACCGCGAATGCATATATTTGATTCGCTCATGTACCATGGTTAGGTTCCTGAATATATGTAACAATACGAATTATAATTTTATTGAATAATGAAGTATATTGTATTCAGTCATTCTTTTCTACCACATTGCACTCTAAGAAAAAAGCAAATTAAGTTTTAATAAAGTTTTTATGAGTGAAAAAAAATTAATTTACGGCAGAATTTGTATGCATATTTTCATTAATTACGCTTCTATAACAAAATAAGTTAATAGAGAATAATTAAACGTAGGTACCTTTGGCAAAGTAATGAAGTAATTTTCATTGTTTAAATAATTTTCATCAAGATAACGTAATATATATACCGTGACCTTATATATATCTTTATACAAAATAATATGAGAATAATATTATTATTAAATATGTTATCCAAAGCATTTAATAAATAATAGTGCAAATGCAAAGTATGATAATATAATGTTTGTTTATAATAAATTATTTTAAAAAATCACTCGTATTGTGTTAACAATATAAATAGTTAGGTAGGTACCTCTACTTTTAATAAGTATAATATTTGATATTGTATCTATTGTTATTTACAATGATCAAAACATATAATTAAGATTAAAATCAAATACATAATTTTCGTATCACTTATAGGGTCTAACGTACTAAGAGAAACGACCTATATTTGAGATTAATATTTGCAGATTAATCTAATATCAATAATTGTGCATACTATTGCAAATTAAAAACGTGTGCTATGCATATTTTATTTTAATTCAACACGTATTGTATGGTTTATAATCTTGCATTTTAACCTATCTTCTCTAATTCTCCCTAATAAACAGTATTTAAAACCTTTTTTTGGTAGGTACAATAAAATCTATTTTAGTGAAAAGACAGTTTATTTTATTTTATTTTTATTTCATTTTATAGGAATAATACTCGTAACTTAAATTTACAGCCATACATATATTGAGGTAGGTAAATAGTTTATGTTCACCACACGTTAGAAAAGCAATATAATGATCGAAAAATTACCTTTAAAATGTCCAAAGTACCAAATAAATAAAATGTACAATCTATATATAGGTGACTTTATACCTACGGTCTACGATATTTATATTCTATAAAAACGTTTATAAGAACATTCCTTCTATTAACGAACATTTAACAAAAATAACTCATTAAAAAAAATCCCTTTCATTATAAAATGATTACGTCATATTCCACCACTTTGATCAGTCTAAAAAAAATAAAATTAATTTAGAATGTGTTAACTTCTGTTGTAATTTGTAATTTGAACGTTCTTAAATAAAACAATTTTGATCAAAATGTTTGTAATTTTCGATGTTTTTGTTTTATTATCAAAATTATTATTCTGTTTTGAACTCTGTAGAATAAATTAAAATAAACATTGTTTTTAATATTCACTTATATGATGTATAAGGCGTATAATAGTAAATACATATTTTGATTAGGTATTAAAGTGACATCTTAAAATACTGAATTGTGTAAATATTTAAACTTAAACGGTTGTAAACAAAATGTTGAATAACGAATTTTAATATTTTCAGATTAAAGTTATATAGAACAGCTAGAGGTCTCCAATCTTTTTTTTTTAAAAACGGGCTGAATCTGAAATGCATTTCAGCAAGCTGGGCCAAAATTGTTTGGGGAGGGACAGAGATTTATAAATTTATAGTATGATTGAAAAAAATTGAAGAATTTTTTTATTATTATTTTATTTCACCTTCGTTCTAGGAAAAAAATAATTTTATTATATTATTTGTATTGAGCTCGACTGATTTACTCGCAAGGATGTACTATATATGTATAGCTAGTATCTTTGAGGTGAAGATAAAATTTAATTAAGTGGACTGGTTCAAAGAGCTTGCAAAATATACAGCTAAGATAATATAGACTATTGAATTTAATGTTCCATATTTTATCCGATTTCAAATGTTAGTAATAATAATTATAAAAATTATTGAATTAAAATAAATTGAGACAAGTAATATTGTCTTGTCTATTATTTAATAGCAAAACCACAATTAATTGTCAAGTCTCCGCGATTAATATTTTCTAGGTGTGTAAGACGTAAGTGCCTACGTATTAAAATACCATTATAATATTTTTACGTACTATGAGCAATATGTTACAAAAATCTATTTTACGATTTCACTGAACCCAATTATAACATATTACATAAAATATGATAAATCCATGTGGTATTATATAATTAGCTAGGTACTAGATATTAATGCAAAATGAAATATGTAACACACATTAAATCGGTTACATTTAAATCATCATGATTATAGTTTAATTACCAATTAATATGCGAGTAATGATCATTATTCATAGCCCATAATATTATGTATTATAGCCGGCGTATACCGCCCAGGTTTAGTGAATAACTTAGGTATTGCCATTGTTTTTCGTCACTTAATACACTTAATAACGTTTAGAAATTTAGCATTTACATTAATTATAAAAACCTAATTATAAAGAACCCGACATTTAAGTCATATTGACATAGGTATAATGTTTTCAGATGTTCAGACTTTTTTTTTTTTTTTTATTTTTATAATTTTTATTTACAATCTGTTACAATAAAAATATGAACAATAAGTAAAATAGATAATTGAATGAATAAGTGGCTTGAGGAAAGGACGGATTTAAGAAGCCTTCCAGTGAAGACACTTTGTCAGGCTGACACATGTTCAGACTTAAAATTATAATATTATTTAGTAAGTACTTACCCTTTCATTAGTTTTATTTTTTGTACACATTAAATTTAAGTTACTTTTATCGTTACAGATGATGTAGGTACACAATAATATTTGATGTATAATTTACATATTGTAACATTGCGTTGAAGATCATTAAATGTAGTTGCTTTTTAGTATCGTAAATTGTATTGAACTATAGTGTCCATAAATTGGTATTAGGTAGGTACAAGCTATTATGTACGTATAGGGAATAAAATATTTATTAAGATACATTTATGTACTTCGGTAGGTACTATACTATACTTATGTACGAAAAACTTGCATAATACCTATTTGATTTATGCTTTTGATTCAGAACAGAATAGTCACAAAGAAAAATAATAATTTAATATATTTTGAAACACGAATAGTTAGGTACTATTATCATAAAATACATATACGATTTATTTTGGTACTTAAATTATCCGATGTTGTATATGACTTATCAATACTAATAACATATTATGTATAATATCGGTTCAAATAACTTTTCACTTTGTGAAAAATTAAAATTATACCTAATATTATTTTTTTATCACAGACTTCAAACAAAGAATAAATCGATTATATTATAATGGTTGGAAATTATAGTGAATAGATTTTAATTTATTTGTCTGTATATAGGTAGTATTTTTATCAATAAAGTGCGGTACACACATTTTCGTTTTCAATATTTAAATCATATCTACATTGTTTAATGCATTTTTGTTACAATGGAAAACTTCGGTAACATAAATTCTTAAGCACTTTAATTGAATTAATAATGCCATACATAATATGTTTATAAATACACATATTATATGATTGAAGCCAATAAATTGAAATGTTTTCCTGTATTTTTCGCTTATTAAATTTTGTACAAAACATCATTGGTATGTATTTAATATTTTCTATTATGCATTTCAAATATTTGTCGTATAAACGATATTTGAAAAGCTTGACAATTAATTAACTCGAATTAATTATTATATATACTCACGTTTAAATAGTAATGGCTGAAAATACAGCTGAAGTAAAATCTATACCCTTGAACTTTGAATTAAAAAAGTCATTACAGTTTATTTTTATTCCATAGTTCAATTAAATTATATCAAAATCATATTAATTAAGATTAATAATGGTATACTATATTATGAAGTAGGTACTAGCTAGGTTAGTATACACGTACCTACCTATAATATGTTATAATGAATCGCAAGGTTAAGGATCATACTTTGGTCTACCAACAACGTAATAGATCGCAAGTCGTAATAACAGCCATTTATATTAAATATTACATCATACATTGTTTTAATAATAATAGTAATAATAATCGTAATAATAAAAATAATAATAATATTATGCAGTAGTAGTAATATTTATAATAACAATAATAATATTATATAGTGCCTAATAATAATATTTTAATGTTCATATTCGTACGTCGTACGCGTACTTATCGAAGTATATTAAATTATCTTATGTGCACAATATTATAATAATATCATACCGACGCAGCCAAAGGGTAATATTGCTCAAACGCCATGGTTATAATATTACGGCAGGTACGCGGTATTCGTCAATAATAATAATAATTGTCGAAAAAAATCTTAAATAAAATACAGTGGAACTTTTTGTTCGTAAAAAAAAGATTGTAAAAGCATACTCGAACGATTATTGAAATCGGAATGTTTTATTGAGCGATGTCTGTCAAAGTCATCACGACGACCTCAAAAAAACTGTCGTTCACATTAATATTTGGCAATAATTGGCTTAGAATTGTCCTCGAACGTCGATTTCGGGATCCGCTGGGTCGACGATATTAGCGGCCACCGACGGGTAAGTCGGCACTGCATCCGCAGACTCGTTGCCGCTATAGTTTTCGGTTTCCGTCACAGAGGAGTCGTCCAATATCGGGATGACGTCGTCGTCGGGGCCGGCGGGCGCGTAGCCTTCTCCTGTAGGTTCTCCTTGGTTTACGACCGAGGTTATCGGCACGTAACCACTGGAATAATCGGTTTCCTCGGGGACGGTGGTGGTGGTGGTCGTCGTCGGCGTCTCGGTAGTGGATTTTTTCGCCAACCCCAGTTTGCTCTTCACCCAACTTATGACGCCGCCGTGAGTACAATTCTCTTCGTGTTTCGCGATTTTCGCATGGACGTTCTTCAGCCAACCGCGGATACCGTTTTTCACCGTCGACGCGGTTTCCTCGATCCCGGACGCCACCTCTTCGGTCGGATGTCCGATGGCCGGCACGACCAACACGGTTAAGGCCAACAAGGCGAATACCTATATGTAAAACCAGAAATTCGTTAATACTGCACGTCTTGGACACCATTATAGGAGGCCTATGTGAAACTCTACTAAAATGTGGTAGGGTTAAAAATTCCATTCTCGTTACTCCGAGACCACCCCCCCCCCCTCTTCCGCGCACCAGATTTAATCGGCTAATTGAATTTATATTTTTGTTAGTTCTTTTTTTATTTTTGTTTTATGGTAACTCGATAATTGTTGATTATTGCTATAGATATTTTTATAATTAGATATAGCTAAATAAAAAATACACCAATGGCAAACTTTTCGGGGGTGGGGTAGCGGAGATCTACAAATCTCTCCTTCAAACACGCGCCACTGATTAGGTGAACATCGTACACTGCGTGTACGTACATATTATTATATTATATATTATAATATAATATAGATGTGTAAATGTGTAATATTGAAGGTTGAAGCGATACGATGAGTAATATCATTATTAATACCCAGCAGTGTGTGTTTTCCTCTAAACTCCAATTATTATTACGAGTACATTACGGTCAGGAAATTTACTGATCGTTTACACTAGGTATCAAGGTTCTACGCTGTATTTAAAAACCTGTTGAAACTGTATTTAAAATGAAATAAAAAAATTTGACTCACTGGAAATTTTGTATTTGATATTTAAATTTCAAGGCAGACCTTATTCGCCTACATAATTTCAACTCATGTGGGAATTCGTTTTTATAAGATATTTTATAAACTGAATAATATCATTCCAACCAGTATTACGTTTTAATTTTAAATATAAATTAAAGCGGCTTAATGCGTTAATGGTATGCGTATAAACTACAAAGGTAATGAAACTATGATAACTTATATTGTGACTATCTAATATTAATCAGAATTTTTGCTTATGAATTTATAGTGTTTAGTCAATTAAAAATGAAGACTAGTAAAGCAATTTGTAAAAGTCTGCCTATCATTCATTTTGTTTGGTTATAATTTATTAGTTCACTGAAGCGAAGCCCCACATTAATTGTTTATTTTAATTTCTCTAGGGTGTAAAATAACCACATGAGTGTATTGGAATTTTTATTATGACTTTTTCTTAGTTTTTATTAAATTGTGTTTATATTGTAAATAGCTCGTTTACACAATAATTGATATAATAATAATATTATTATGATACGAATTATTCATAGTAAATTATTTTTATTTCGTATTTTTCATCGAAACTTCATAGTTCATAAATTATATTATTAGTACCAACAAGATAAATAATATTATTTTTCAATTTCATACATTTAGTTTGTATAATTATAACGCAAGCGTTAAAAATTGAACGTGGATTATAAATATAAAAATAATTAATTTCCACCTACTATTATAATCAGTTGTTATTGAATATTATTATTTTGTGTGCAGTTTAAGTTTATTAATAAGTTATACATTTTGATCTCTGTTATCTTATCGTTTTGATTTTTAAAATAACTTAATACTTTTATAAGCACTGTTGTCAGTAAGAAATATTTATTATAATTGTATAAAGTTGTTCTCATATTATTATAAAAATTAAAATAATTACCTATTATAAAGTATATTTTTATATGTAATTTCTTAGTTAACATTGAATAATATTATAAATCACATAAATTAGTTCGTTTTAATTGTTTAATCCTTTTTTTGTAGCAAAATCAATACCATACTGACTAAATCTGACCTACTTTTGTAATGACACTGATTAATCTTTTTTTGGAGATGCATCCAACTAATTCTAACATATTATAATATATTATATATTTCTTATTTCTTATATTCAAAATGTGTCAATACATAGCATGCTATTACAAGTTTGATATTATTTTAGTAATATTAACTGTTGAAGAAAATATGGTGTGCTATTAATGGAAAAGTGTAAGTACTCTTATTTGTGACGGAAAATATAGGAAAAAATGTATTAAAAGGGATACCATATAAAATATGTTCATATCATAAGAATTTTTTTGGTTGGTAAATAGCTGCAAACAATTTATCAATAGTTTTATAATTGGACAATTTTATTATTTTACATCTCAAAACACGAATAAGCACAGCATTCATTATGAAAATTATTCGATAGAGGGTTGCAAGAAAATCTATTCATTTTATAACTTGTGTTCTATTAAAATTAAATTTGCATATCACCTGTTGTGGAGTTATATTCCATAACAAGTCGTTCTAATATATTTACAGAAGTATTATATTTTATAATACATATGGTATAAGATTCATATACAAAGTTTCCCCTTAGAAGTTTGATACTAACCTATATAGAAAGTCTCACATAATAGTAAGTCTAGCCCTCGTCTCAAACTTATCTTTTGATATCCATATTTATTTATCGCTACCTACATATATTTAGTAAAATCGGTAAATTTATTTGTACATATATTGTAAACGAGCATGTATAATAATAAAAATACAGTTTTCATCTAATAGTTACAATTAAAGTTCAACGAACGATAAACGTTTTGTGTTTTACATTTTCGTTTTAATTATTCGTTTAGTAATAAAATATTTAAGTTAATATTGACAAAAATTCAAATATAAGTAAAGTATTTTACAATATACGATTTTTTTTTAATTCTATTTAAATAATAAACAAAAAAAAATATTCAACATTACATACATTTTCGTAATCAACTAACTAAATAAGTATCTGATGGATTACTTTGGTTTTAAATTTATTTTCATACTTAATTACTTCATTTATTTAGTGTAAATAATTAACTTTATATAACGTTATAACTTGATTTTTACTTTCTCTAATACAGATATTTGTCTTTTTTTCCGTTAGGAAAGCTGGTGTTTCAACTTTATGATTCTTACTGTATTATGAAATAAAATATTCTTCTTATAGGAATTTAAATTAAAAATTTTTTTCTAAGAATTTTGTTTTATTGGAATGTTGCACATTTTATAATTGAAATTTTACAATATAAGTACTTATGTCTCCCTTAAATTAATTATTAACGCAATATTTACGGGTGCAAACATTGATGGTATAATAGTATACCACTACCGCTTGTAACGTTAACCGCGTGTAAAATGAATATTGTCAATTATAGAATATTATTTTTTCAAAACTCTCATCGATATGCTTTAATAATCGTAAAATTGTTCTATTATAGTTTTGAATAAACATTTGAAATTCAGTATTTATAATAGTGTTATAATAATATATACTAATGAACAACGTAAATTAATAATCAAACACACTTACGGTGAATTTGCTGAACATCATTTTAATATATTATTATTATTCTGTCGTCGTCGTGTGGTGCGAAATCGAAGACTACAGCGAATCGTCGTTAGTCTTAATAATATTATCTGCGTATAGGGCCGTTTGCGAACTGTTATTATCCGGCAAAGAACGACGTCTTTTTTATAATAATCGCCAACTACCGTGCTCTGCCCTCTTGTCCTGCACTTCGGGCCTATACCGTCCACCACTCTCTTACCGACGGCTATCAGTGCCACTCGCCGTCTATGCTGTTACGCACACAATTTTCTCAAACACACACACACACACACGCGCAACGGACGCACAGATACAATACGTCATGTTTTGTACGATTTAATATAACGAAATAACTGAATCGTAGTCTTACCGATATTGTGTGCAATGTTAGATTACAATAATAATAATATGTTCCGTCGGGTAAGGGGGCATTGGCACGTCAACAGGTGGCTGCTGGACGGCTGCGAAAAATTGGGAGGGGCCATAATATGTACAATTTCATGCGATTTTAAATTGGAATTAATTAATAGTAGCTTTACCGATATAATACTATATATTAGATATCACAATAATAATACCCGGTGTGGCTCGGCGTTTGGCTTCAAACGTGTTCTGAAGTCGTCACAGGTTAGATATTTTACTGCAGTCGAGCACCCAAGAATTTTCTGTACTCGCATACGAATTACGCATAGATATTGTGTATTGTGTCTTGCGATTTAATAACGAAATAAGTGAATCATAGTTTTTTACCGACGTAGGTATACGATACATTTACAATAATAATAATATTATATTCCGGCATTGGCACAACTCGTGGCTGCTGGACGGTTATGAAGATCGTGGGGCGGGGGGTGGCACAGACTCACAGAATATACGCGACTTCGTGTAACATACTATTTAATAACGAAATAAATTATTCATAGTTTTACTGATATTATAATACATCGCGGTGGTTGCGAATCATGGTATCACCTACGTGTCCGCACGCGAGGCCGTGCACTATGGGCAATGAACAATAGTGATCCCGATAAATTCGAATGGAATCCAGGGGAACCCTTTAAACCAGGGTTGGAAAAAACCTGGGCTTTAGCTTTAAGTTTTTTTCAAATAAAAGCCCATTCAGAAAAAACCCATCCAAAAACCGTGTGGATTTTATTAGAAAAGTAATGATGGGCTGTTTTATCGAGTTTTTTCTGAAAAAATACATTCGAAAAATCAGAATTTTTTTCCATGTATCATCTGCACTGTTTTTTGATTTTTTCCTTGTCTTTTATTTTATTACCAAGTACTCGTATTTGTTATTTTGTTAATTGCTAATTTTTGTTTAGATTATTCATTAAGTATTATTTACAGGAAAGTTATACGTATTTAATACCTTATTAAAAATAAAATATCGTTAACATTTCTATTGACCGTTGGTGTATAATTTTTTAAAATTTTTATTTTAAATTGTACCTAGGTATATAATTAAAAAAATAATTATTAAATATTTTACAAATCAGTTGAATACTTTTTTTATTGAACAAAAATGTACATTGACAATCTGTATTTACAAGTTATACAATAAGTAAATGGGATGTGGTTTGATTGACGGGAGGGGGAAGTCACACAATGGTGGCAAGCCGTAGTTTTATACTTAATTGGAAAAATAAATAATACCTATAAGTAAGGTAAATTTTTCTGAAAATTAACACAAATTAAAAAAAATAAGATTGAATTTCTATTTTATCCAGAAAAGCAGTTCGGGTTTTATGGGTTTTTTTTTTAAAAATAATGAGTATGTTTAACCCAGAAAAGCAGCCTGGGTTTTTTCAGGCTGGGCTTTTTCGTGCTAACCCCGCTTTAAACACTCGTAGAGAGATTTTACGTCGGTTGTCGCTTATCCGGTCGCAGCGGCACCGGATAACCTGGTATTAATAATCGGAGATAAATAATATATTGTTGTACCGCGGACTAACATTTTATACATTATAGATACGTCATATTGTTTTGTATTATATAATATATGTATAGGTAATTATAATTATAATGTACGTGACTGCCGAATGCATTTTAGAGTCTCGCGTTTTGTCTAACGAGAAAAGAAAAAAAAAATGGACAGGTTTTATCGTTTCGATTGCGCCGTCAAAGTGCACCTAGTCGTATACGTACTGGCTGCATGTAGACAGGTTTTTTTTTAATAATTAACGTAATTAACATCAGACACATCCAGCTGTATTATTATTATTTTGATTTCGTTTCGGGTTATATTAATATATTATTATTATCAGGAAGATTTAGTCATGCAGCATACGCAGATGTACCTATAATAATAATAGAAAACTAATAGGAAACCGGCATACCGAATAATAGCGTTTCAGGAAAAGAAAAATGAATCGTGCAAATCCGATGCTATGTTATAAGGAAAACTAACGAGTAGATAAGTACTTATCTAAAGTTCGACTTTGACCCGATCTAATACCGATAAGCATACAAAAAAGGATAAACCGACATTTACCGATAATCTATAACTATTCATTGTCGAATTCGGAATGTTTATTTGTATTTAAATTATTAAAATAATAGGTACCTATATCAATTATTTTAGATTTTGAGCGGAGCGAGGAAGCTAGTGGTTTTACAATGGTGCTTATTTTTTTATTTTTATTTTTTTTTTTATATCCGGTATACAAAAATTTCTACCAGAAGGAGTGCTTTGATTTCAACATATAGTACCTTATCTTTTAGAAAATTGGACCAAGATGGTACTTTAGAGAGGTCATTTTCGATTTCTCAAAGTTATATAATGCCACTGGAAAAACCACCGAAAAATTACGAAAAACCATTAAAATCGGATTTAATTTCTAACGCTTTGTTTATCACCATAGAAACGAATAAAAAATTATAATATTAATTCAACTTACATGATATAATAAATAATAACTATATAAAATATCCAGACTGACAAACCGTCTCCGTTCAGAATCGTTTTTCTTATACAATGATATTATATCATTGAATTCAAGTTTAATACAATCCATTAAACAACGACCAACTTGTAACCTACTGTACAGCTGAGCGACATCCACTTACCTGCCTTTTTTTTTATTGATCTCAAAAAATGACCCGGCGATTAGTTATGATCATTACAATGTTTCAGGTGATACATTTAAGATGTAGGAATGGGGTGACAATATAGGTATAACCTATTTCTGATATTTACAGTATTTACAATATTTACAAATGTATTGATAGAATAAACTTATAAAATAAATATGAAAATATTATAGAAAACAAACAAAGAAAAGATATTCTTAAGGAGGAGATGTATATGTGGTGCCAATGTGAGACGACAGTCGAAAATAATGCCCAGGATTTAAACAGAATTTTTGTTGGAAATAAAGTTGCTATCAAGTGTAATATGAAGTTTACCAATTTTTCTATTTTTTTGTAATAATTATGCAACTTGATTTTTCTGGAGAAAAGTTAAAACCAGTCTTTTTTTCCCATTCAACTAAATTGTTGGTAGTTATCTGGAGGTGATTTTGCAATGGGCTTAAATTCATGCTTCGACAAGTAAAATTAAAATAGTCAGCGAAAAGAGAATATTTTACTGGTAAGGAACAACTTTTGGTTAGGGATTGGATTTTATACCATACATATTTCGTGTCGGATTTTTCATTGATACTGCTTGTGAATTATACCCAAGCATTTTGTTGGTGGATTGAATCAAATATTTTGTTCTAGCTTTGTGTTTTTTAAGTTCTATGAAATTGTTTTGAGTTTTGGATTTTTGGAATGATTTTAATGCCGTAGTCTTTGATTGCTCTTTTATGTTTTCATTTCACCAAGGAACATAAGATTTTATTTTTTTGGATGAAGTTTTACCTATTGTTAGATTTGCTATTTTGACTATTGAGTTACTAAATGTATCTACTAGTGAGTTAATATTTATGATTTAGGTGTTGTTTATATCTTTGATTTTCTCTTCTATTAATTCACTGAATAGTGGCCAATTGGGGATTTTTAAATTTCACATTTCACTGGGGCAGTAGGGTTAGAGATGTCTTTAGACCTTGATATACAATTTATGATGATATGGGAATGGTCAGTACTCGTAGGATTTTGTATACCTTACATTCCAATCTTTGGGCTAAGGATGTATTTGAAAATATTAAGTCAGTGTTGCCGTGTTGGAACATATTTTGCAATGTTTATATGGGTGGGTTCGTTGCTATTCAATAATATTATCGTTTTATAGTATTTTATTAATTTCTGTTCCACTCCTGGATTTATAATAGCATGGTAGGTGTTGTGGTAGGTTATTTTAGCAGCAATGACTTTTCAGAGATAGGTTTTTTATTTATAAGATAGGGGAGGAGTTATGTTTAGGAGTATTTGATATATTATGTTCAATAATTTCTTGTCTGGATTTAGTTTGTTTATCTATTGGTGGGGATGGTGAGGTAGGTGAAGTCAATTGGTCCGCTGGAGGAGTTGTTTATTTTAGCCAGTCTATGGACTTGTCTTCTACTAAGACGTCTTTTGGAATGGCCGGGAGCTGTAGAGGCTTCTCTATCTCTTTGGTTGCTATGGAAGGAAGAGTGTCTTCTATTTGTGCTTCAGAGGAAGTATCAAAAGCGTTGATATCGTTAGAATCGATCAGGTGATTACTTTTTAATTTAACTTCGTTGTTTTTTTACAATTGGTTGTTGTGTGACCAACCGATTTGCACAAAAAAATAATTTATTTGATCATCAGTGAAGACAATTCGGAATTGATTTTCGTTTACATTAATTATTAACTAGCTTGGGAGCTTAGGAATATCTGCGCGATTGATTAACGATTGCCGGTGACAGCTCATTATGTGTTCATATCCTTCTACATTGGTTCCCGATTTTAGGTGGTTAATTTGTTTATCAAGTTTAAATAATATCTATATTTCTTAAGGTGTCTACAATTGCTAGGTTAGGAATGAATGGGTATACGTTAGATATTATAATAAATCTCTTGGCCAGGTTAAT